GGAGCCGCTCCGGGGTGCGGCGCCCCGGCTGGGAGCCTTCTCGGGGGCGTTTCCCGCCGTGCCTACTGCGAAACATGTCAACAAGGCGTGGTGCGTGACAGGCACCGCGGAGCTCGCCCGGGCGTCGCCCGCGCGGCTGTGGGAAGCTTGAGCATCGGGAAGCGCTGGGATATGAAAACAAATTGCCTAGGGTAGTGCGCTGAGATTGTCGAAGAAAGCCAATCGGCTGAGGTGGCGCAGGCTGGACGAGACGCCCCCGCCGCGTAGCCTGGTGGAAAACTTGGTCAACTTGTGATGAGCAGCTTCGCGCCTGCTTTCAGCGTGTGCAGCCTTGGAGGCGGAGTTGTAGGCAGGGGTCAGGAGGCAGCCCCGTCAGTGATTGACCTGCCTCTCTCCAAGCAAAAACGAGAGTAATTTGTTGTTAATGGTATCGAATAACGCAGATCTTTTATTTAGATTGTTTTGCGGGAAAATAAGCTGATTTCGATTATCCTTAAACTATATAAAAATGGGATCCACTCCTAGTTTACCTGTCTGTGATCCCCGGACAAGTTTTCTCCACGGTGTTTCCCCTTCCATTCTGTGAGTTAGTCTGTTGTAGCAGTCTTGTATTTCAGCTAAAGAATGTACATTAACTCTTATATTAAAGCAGAACATAAAAGGACATAAAGGAATTGTAATACCAAAACAGTACAAATGAGCTTTTAAATGCCCAGTGTATACAGAAGCGCCTAGTACGTTGAGGGACCACCCAGGTGTTCTGTTTTTCAGCAGTAATGAAGTTGATTCCTTTCAGAGTTTGTAGAAATGTCGTTAATTCTCTTAACTCCTTTGTGGTGCTCAACTAGTCTAGTTTTTTTCCTCATCAGTTCCTTTTGGCGTTTGCTAATATCACCAAAAGCGCTTGCTCATGAAGTTGCATATTTGTGGCCCTGAAACACTGCAGATAATTAAACTACCAGAATCCTAGAGGCCTGGTTTTGGTGCTTCGAAGTCTCATTGACTCTTCCCTCAGGTTGACCCTCCACTCTGTTCCTGTATACAAGAGAGATTAAAAGTAAGAGATACAAAAGTCCACTGATGTAGGTTATTTGCAGATAAGTGGATGCTCTGAATTGTTTTAACTTTCCATACAGCAGAGCTTCATGTATAAATCTAATAAAATTTACGCTTTTGAAAGCATTGGAAACTTTGGCATGAATAAGTGAGACTAATTTGGAAAAAAATTGATAGAAATCTTTATTAGGTGTCTTCTTTAATATTATTTTCATGAATGAGAATACAGGTGATATTTTTTATTGGCATTTGACCTTATATTTTCTATTAATACACTATATGACTATACCATATGTCATAATATATATGACAGTTCACAGGCTTTTGTTTAGCTATTCATAAACCAGCTAGTGCTAAAACTTCACCTCAGTGGTCATATAGTCTTATTTAAATCGAGGTACTTTATTTTAGAATTACATACTTATATTTAAAATACCAAGCTAGGCATGGTGGTGCACATCTGTAATCCCAGCATTCAGGAGGGTGAGGCAGAAGGATTGCTGTGAGTTCCAGGCCAGCCTGGGCTACATAGTGAGTTCAAGCAGCCTAAACTGTATAGTGAGACCTGTCTCAAAAGAACCAACTTTGGGCAGAGGATGTAGCTTAGTGCCACCTTGCCTGCCTGACAAATGCAAGGTCCTGAGTGCAATTCCAGGTACCAGGAAAAAAAAACTTATTTCCTGACTTCGGAAAGGTATTGAAATAAAAATTTAAAACAGGACTGTGATAAAAGAAATTTTATATTACCCATTTTATGACCAGCAAAGCATTATCTTAAATTTTCTTATTTGTGAATAAGTCTGATATTTTATTTTTATGGATACTTGTACTGTACTTTATTAAATTAAAATGCACTATTCCATCTTTAAGTTTAGTAGTTCTGACTTTAGAAGACCTTGCAAAAAGAGGAATCAGCATTCTGTAGTAGAATGTAGAAATTATGAAGACATTTCTTTTTGAATCTTTGTAAATTCCATGTAATTTTACATAATGAAAAGAGAAATTATAAACTTTGGGTAGCAAACTCCGTTCTTCGACCCAAATTGTATATGCTAAAATTAAAGTTAGCCTTCAAGATAAATCAAAGCAGAAAAATGGGTTATAGTGGCAAAGTGTTAATCTCTAATTGGACAGTATTATTAGATTTTTATGATACTGTTTATACTGTAGAATTATTATGCTACTGTTTCTCTGAATATGTTTTTGAAAGTGTTTCTAAATTGATATGTAAGTCTTAGTCTTCAAAAAAAACCATCCTCTTGCTTTCTCTTGTCAGTTTTCTGTGTTTCTCTCCCACTGCTCAATAGGATATGCATAACTTATTTCACTTTATTCCCATAGTTAGAAGAAGGAACATTGAGGAACAAGCAGTTTAATGTGCATAGGCTAAGACCTCCTGGACGGATTTTCGTGGCATGCAGGCCACTGGACTGCCATGCTGTTTTTGCTCTCCAGCCTCCAATCCTTTTTCACAAATTATGCTAGCTCCTGGGTGGGAAAAGTCTGCAGAGACATACTTTATTGAGTTATACTTAGGCATATCCTTCGTCCTGCACAGGAATCAAATTCTTACATGCTGATTCGTCAGAAGTAATTGGATATTACAAGACAACTTTTTGAAAGGTGATGAACCCAAGTTTAGGTCCAAACCCCTACTCTTCCAGGACTGCTCTCTAGAAGCAAAAGTATTGCAAGCTCTAATGTAAATAGGCATACTAATGAGTATCTGCCCATTTGGAACCCATTCATTGTATTTAGACAGCTCTTTTATCTGATTATATATAATGTAATGCATTAACATTAAAAGGAATGTATAAAATGTATAAATAAAAGGCGAACTGGGAAAAAGTCACCTGTGATCTCACCACCCATTGTTAAAGATTATAATAATTTGATGGGTCTCCTCCCTTCTTGTACCTTCCTCTTCTGGCAGTGCTGAGGGTGGAACCTAGGCATTCTAGCATTCTACCACTGGGTTATAGCTCCAGCTGAGATCTGCTTATTTCAAGAATAGGTTGGAAATGTCTAGCAGTAGCCAATATCACGGACTTCTTAGGAAAACCTGTTGGCTACTTAATTCACATCCCCTTTGGAGATTTTGGGGTAATTTAATAATGCAAATATAAGCTGTAGTCAGTGGTGCACATCTGTAATCCCAGCACCGGGAGAGGCCCTAGATGGGCAACTTAACCAGACTGTATCACAAAATAAAAATTAAAAAGGCTACATATACAGCTTAGTGGTAGAGCACCCCTTTAGTCAGTCAGCAGTATCACTCACACACACATACACACACACACACACACACACACACACACACACACACACACACACAAACCCTCAAATAAAGTAGATATCCTTAGATGACTTTTAAGCTTTTAGAAAGTATCACTGTGTTGCTTTTTATATCCATTTTAGTTCGTGGACTATAACCTTTGAAATATAAATTCTTAGTGTAGTTTTAAAATCATAAATAATGTGATATAAATGTAAATTTTACATGCCAGAAATGTGTGGAATTTGTAAAAGTATAGCTGGTATCCATTGGCTTTTTTCATTATATTTTATTTTGGTATTCTTGAATTATTGGTCCAGTCTGTGCATGTTTGAAATATAACAGATACACATCTCAATGACAAAAAAATGAGGGTTTGTTTTTGTTTAAAAGATAAGTAGAATGAAAAAAAGTGATGTGTTTTTCTAAACAGGATGAAACGAGGAGGAAGAGATAGTGACCATAGCTCATCTGAAGAGGGTACTGCAGAGAAATCAAAGAAACTGAGGACTACAAATGAGCATTCTCAGACATGTGACTGGGGTAATCTCCTTCAAGACATTATTCTCCAAGTATTTAAATATTTGCCTCTTCTTGACCGGGCTCATGCTTCACAAGTTTGCCGTAACTGGAATCAGGTATTTCACATGCCTGACTTGTGGAGATGTTTTGAATTTGAACTGAATCAGCCAGCTACATCTTATTTGAAAGCTACACATCCAGAGTTGATCAAACAGATTATTAAAAGACATTCAAACCATCTACAGTATGTCAGCTTCAAGGTAATATTTTAAACCCTTTTTAAAAACAAAGCATTTTTTTTTTTTTTTTAA